TCCCATTACTCACCACACAGAAACACACATGTATATAGAGACTACGGACTTATTGATCCGCCCTATCGTAGTAGATGTCCGCCAAGTTTTAGAGACTATGGAGTTACTAGGGCAGTTAGCTAATCCCTGTTACAATTGTGTTTCCTTAACACACAAAGAGTCAACTTGTGATTTATATAGCAACCACGCAGATCTTAGTATAAACTGGTGGGATTATTAATCGAACGAGAAGAGTACATTCCTAACCTCGCTGATGATATTTGTGGTATGGTTTATCAGCCAATCTCAAAAACAACAAAACAACAAAACAAAAAAATAACATCGTTTACATTATAGAGCACGAAATTAATTTTTCAAACTTAAGGTATGTTCGCTAGATAACAAGATGATATTGATAGGTTGCCACTTGGAAAGAAAACATGATTAAATTGCTCCCAGTATTGTCTCTGTTGCTTTTCTCAATTATATCTATTCAGTAGAGATATATAAACTTTTTTTCAGTGACTCTAAATGATATGTGGAAAAGTGAAATCATCCTTTGCAAAGATTGTCTTCCATTTCTTCTCTGTATCGTGTCTCTTTACGACATGTGTCCTCCTCACAATTTCCACTCATTTTTAGCTTTTAGTAAATTTTGTCGTTTCGATATCTCTCCTAATCCCTGTTCTGCTAAGTATTTGCACAATTGTGTTGGAGAGATTATGCGCTCTTTAACTCTGTAAAGATGCCGAAATGTTACAGAAGAAAAAGTATAAAGAAAATTTGAAACAAAAAAAGACCTCATCTGTTGAATCGCAAAAGGAGAAATTAGAGATTTGGGATGTGCCTCAAAGTATAAAAATGTAATGAAGCAAACCAGGAAAGAGACCAGTTGTTCGGTTCGATAAGGTCTAAGCTTAATTAAAAAAAAAATCATAGTATCTATGAAAAATAAATGATGCTTAAAATATTTCATTTCACAAGTCGTCCCGCGAGACTTCCGGAGATAACGGGGGACTTCAGTTTTTACGAAGTTATCATTAATATTTTTAAGCCTTTATATATCTCATAGAATATTTAACAAAACACATACAATCATGAGCAAACCCATACCTAAGCATACACACTTGAACACACGTATCTTCGTGTACATACTCTTGTGATAGTGAAATATCAGCACACGCCTAGACAGGCATATGCAGTTATAGTCGTGGATGCGCACATACAAATAGTCAATGGTGCTGTCACGTACACAGGCGCATAATACCTGTATTGGCAGTTACACACGGGCACGTTTACAAATGGTGGCATAGTCAAGTATTAACACACATCGAAATACACAAACATGTACACCCATAGCACTTAAACATACAGGCATGAGAACATATGCTCAGGTACAAACACATACCAAATACAAAAATATGAATATAATCACTCAGAAGCCTGCAATGATAGGTGATTACGAAACCCTTCTTTAAATTACAAGCACGCAAATAATCATGATTGTGGCATATATATATATATATATATATATATATATATATATATATATATATATATATATATATATATATATAACACTCCTATTTGAAATATGTTGTTAAATGCTTTTTGTTCTTACGTTCTCTTTTTTGTAGGAATTATATTTGGGGGACAATTTTATGTTGGTTGTTTTCTCCAATCTTCTAGTTGAAATATCTCGGGAATAGTTTTAAATGATCTTTTATTTATTTTATTCACAACTTTGCTTCAGTTATTTTCCATTGTTTTCATATCATTACTTCCTTACTTTCCAATTAAAAAAAAAATTAAAACCCGAAACGGCCGAGAGCTGCCTATTTCTCTCCGATTTCGCTTGTCGGTGTTCGAATCCAAATAAAAACCAAGGTTTCAAATTATGATTTTCATGGTTAGTAGGTTCTACCTACTTAAGAGATGCTCCAAAATCTTTGCCTCCTATTTAATAACACGGAAACTACAACAGATACGGGAGGCACTAATAGATAGAGCGAGTTTTCAGCTGCAAGACACAATTTTTCCACACGGTCATCTCTGTATTTTTGCCAGCAAGTGATAAGAGAATTACAGGCTGCTCTCATAGACATGGCTTCTATATTTCTAGTATCACTGCTAAAATGCATTTCTCACTATCTAACTGCTCTCATATCTTCTATTCTCTTTCAGTAAGGGTTAAACATGCGTCAATGAATACTAATCGATGCAATGAAGGAATTTAATGAAGCACCTCTACACCATACATACTTTTATATCAGTCACCATTTTACCAGCGTGTTTTTTTCTTAGAAAAATATAGATTACTGTAAGGCTCACTCTCGACTATCGTAAATAATGCTCTTGAAAATCTAAAAGACCTGGAGGTGGAAATAAAAAAAAATAGCACTGTAAAACTAAAACTGTTATGGTTGGAGTGTTTGGTCTGATAAAGAAAGTAAGTCAAGAAGGAATGAATAAAATTCCTGATGCACCATCTCCCCAGAAAATCCCCCAAATTTGTAACAATCAAAGACCATATACTGCGAAGAGCTTTGTCAATTTGGGTATTTTTTTATTTGTTAATAGCTGACTATGAGATAATGAGAAAAAAGTGGCTTGGAGAATTTAACACACACAGGGCATATTTAAGCCAAGAGAGATAGAAGAAAGTAGTATCTATCTAACGAGCCTGTAGTTAGCTGAACAGGAATTAGAAGAGATAGCAAAACGACCAATCTTATTCAAAGATAGAAAGGGCAGGAAGTTGTGGAGATCCCTGATCGGACACTTCCCGAAAGGATACGGCTCATAGATGATATAAAACCATTCACATTATAAATATTAATTAATTTTATAACCGAGTGTGTGAAGGTATGTGTATGCTTGCTTATGTTCATATCATATTGAAACATTGGGTCTAGTACGATCAACGAAGTTAAGCAATGTCGGGTCTGGTGATTATCTAGATGGCTGACCGCTGGGGAATACCAGCTGCTGTAAGTTTAGATGTACGCGTGGTGTTGTGGATAACGGCTCGGAATTGGAAATCGGAACCTTGAGTTCCAATAACAGTCAGATTCGGTTTAATTCCCTTATGGGCAAACATTCTTCCGAAAGAAATGAATTCACGTCTATTCCTCCTGCTATTGCTTAATTACTAAGATTGTATCAGTAAAACATTATCTCTCCAAAATTCATATCTAAGTATGTTCTGGCTTAAAATAACATAGAAAAAGTTCGATAAACCTATGAAAAAACAATCTCTCTCTCTCTATATATATATATATATATATATATATATATATATATATATATATATATATATAATTTAATTTCAATTAAAATGTGCAAATATAATTTATAAATTCATGAATCATTCATACAAAAAACAAATATAGAGGTTAATGATTTATATGGCGAGAATACATATTCGCAAACACATAAATAAGATACACTAACCCAGAACCTGTATATGAATGATATGATCCCCGTTTATAAATTCCAGTTGCATAAGTTCTTTTTAATTTTTTACAAGCTTTCGTCTGTTCCTACAGACATAATCAGGTATGGAAGTAGATTTTGTTCTTATTTTTACTGCTCAGTAAGGATAATAAGTCTGACATTACTGTAATTATTAAACAATATAGTTCATGCCATATTTACGGAAAATCTACCAGTAAAAAAGAATTCTTTTATTGCTATATTTGTACAAAAACGCACAAACCTTAAAATTTAAATTCAAACTCAGCGTTCGACCGCACGTTCCAAAACAATAACATATTTCTCATAGCATTTTTTCGGATTGCATCTCTATTTTCGTTGTCCTCTTATTACTGAGTAGTGAGTTCGATCCTCACTGGGTGCCCCATACTTTCGGCCTTGTGCCACATCTAAGCTACGGTTGGAAAATCACTATATATATATATATATATATATATATATATATATATATATTGAAAAGCGAATCAGAATACGTAAATTATTAGAATTCAGCGTATTTTAAGGCCTGTAGAATTTAGGCAAAGATGTGCTCAACGGGTAGCTAGTGACAATATTCAATTAATAAAAATGAACAGCTCATCTATTGATGGACACCAGAAAGAGACTGTCGCCGCTTGGTGTTGACATCTTTTTTTTCTCTGTTTTTTGGGGGGTGGGGAGGGGGTGGTACTTAATATGTATCTATTGTATTCTATACTATTCTAAACTTTGAAGCGAACGTGTAAAATGTCCCAGTGTCTTTGAGTAATAAAATAGATCTTAGTTTTGGTGATTAAGAATTGGTAACGACATTCATTAGGTCTTAAGCTAGCGGGATTGCAAAGATCCGAGTAACTTCCCAAATAAAGTGAGAAAGAAAAGGCAATCTGGTTGGATATGTTAGTTGCTTTGTCCTTTCATCTCAATGATCGTCGGTGCAACTGGAGTTTTATGTCGGTGCATATTTGATCTTTCAACACTCAACCAATCACTACTTTATGCCAACATAAAAATCAGGGAGAGTCTGATTCATGCCTCTACTAAAGCTTGAATAAAAACCTTAATTTGAACTCTGGTTGCCAATTTTGACATGCCTATGGCAAACGGTTAATACATTTTGGATATATAGTCGCTTGCAGAACAGAGACTAGAAAGAACACAGGAAATATAGTCAAGACATTTACAAAGACTCAGTTATGAGTGGTTATAAAAATGGCTGGCTGGAAATAGAATTCTTTTATTTAATGTAAATGTTATTTTGCAAAGACTATACTGTCTTTTGGTCGGTATTTGTATGAATTAAATATTCAGTAGTCGTAGAGAAAGTGTCATTTAACTTGCTTATGAAAATGTCATGTATAACTGCATTGGATTCTGTTCAATTTGTATAAATGCTAATTAAATAAAGGTACACAGGATAAGCGTTGGAAGACACCCCGGAGTTAGAAATCTCTTTCCGTAAAATGGTTTTGGATGTTAGCTATTAATTTTTCTCATGCTTTTATACAGTTAATGGAATATTTGAAATCTATCAATATCATCTATATATGTCTGTTCATATCTCTCTCATTATCACGGTCTGTTCATATCTATTTATCTCTCTCTCTCTCTCTCTCTTCTCATGTTGCGGCTTGTTAGCATTTGCCTGTCTCTTCTCCCCAAACACGTCACGGACTGTTCGTATATGTCTGTCCTCCATCTTCTTCTCTCTCCCTTCATCGTCATCTCTCTATCGGCCTTTCCATATACCCTTCCCTTTCCTTTCTTTTCTCTCTTTTCTTTTTCTTTACCTTCTATTTCTCTTCCCCTTCCCCTTCTCTTTCCCTTTTCTTTCTCTTTCCCTTCCACTTCTTTTCTCCTTTTCTTTCTCTTTCCCTTCTCTTTCTCTTTCCCTTACCATTCTCTTTCCTTTTCTTTCTCTTTCCCTTCTCTTTCTCTTTCCCTTCCCCTTCACTTTCCCTGTTCTTTCTCTTTCCCTTCTCTTTCTCTTCCCCTTTACTTTCCCTTTTCTTTCTCTTTCCCTTCTCTTTCTCTTCCCCTTTACTTTCCCTTTTCTTTCTCTTTCCCTTTTCTTTCTCTTTCCCTTCCACTTCTTTTCCCCTTTTCTTTCTCTTTCCCTTCTCTTTCTTTTTCCCTTACCATTCTCTTTCCTTTTCTTTCTCTTTCCCTTCTCTTTCTCTTTCCCTTCCCCTTCACTTTCCCTTTTCTTTCTCTTTCCCTTCTCTTTCTCTTCCCCTTTACTTTCCCTTTTCTTTCTCTTTCCCTTCTCTTTCTCTTCCCCTTCTCTTTCCCTTTTCTTTCTCTTTCCCTTCTCTTTCTCTTTCCCTTACCATTCTCTTTCCTTTTTCTTTCTCTTTCCCTTTTCTTTCTCTTTCCCTTCTCTTTCTCTCCCCCTTCCCTTTCCCTTTTCTTTCTCTTTCCCTTCTCTTTCTCTTTCTCTTCCACTTCTTTTTCTCTCTTTTTTCTCTTTCCCTTCTCTTTCTCTTTCCCTTACCATTCTCTTTCCCTTTTCTTTCTCTTTCCCTTCTCTTTCTCTTTCCCTTCTCTTTCTCTTCCCCTTCTCTTTCCCTTTTCTTTCTCTTTCCCTTCTCTTTCTCTTACTCTTCCACTTCTTTTCCTCTCTTTTTTCCCTTTCCCTTCTCTTTCTCTTTCCCTTACCATTCTCTTTCCTTTTTCTTTCTCTTTCCTTTTTCTTTATCTTTCCCTTTTCTTTCTCTTTCCCTTCTCTTTCTCTTCCCCTTCCCTTTCCTTTTTCTTTCTCTTTCCATTCTCTTTCTCTTTCTCTTCCACTTCTTTTCCTCTCTTTTTTCTCTTTCCCTTCTCTTTCTCTTTCCCTTACCATTCTCTTTCCCTTTTCTTTCTCTTTCCCTTCTCTTTCTCTTTCCCTTACCATTCTCTTTCCCTTTTCTTTCTCTTTCCCTTCTCTTTCTCTTCCACTTCTTTTCCTCTCTTTTTTCTCTTTCCCTTCTCTTTCTCTTTCCCTTACCATTCTCTTTCCTTTTTCTTTCTCTTTCCTTTTTCTTTCTCTTTCCCTTTTCTTTCTCTTTCCCTTCTCTTTCTCTTCCCCTTCCCTTTCCCTTTTCTTTCTCTTTCCCTTCTCTTTCTCTTCCACTTCTTTTCCTCTCTTTTTTCTCTTTCCCTTCTCTTTCTCTTTCCCTTACCATTCTCTTTCCCTTTTCTTTCTCTTTCCCTTCTCTTTCTCTTTCCCTTTTCTTTTTCTTTCCCTTCTTTTCCCTTTACCCTCTCTTTTCCTTTCCCCTCTCTTTCTTTCTCTGTATGTATATAAATACAAAAGAATCTATATTCCAGTTAAATTATTTATTCCTTTGTCATTCATATACCGTGATAACAAACATCAGATGCCTTTCGTGGAATCAGATGCTCACTCGTTCTGATGTTTCTCGTCTCTTTTACCTCTTGTTCTTTCTCTGGCAATCCAGTCTATATTTTGTATATTTCCATGTTTATTTTGGCATAAGCTGTGTTATCGCATATTTCAAACTGAGTTTAAACTGAAACAAGTTGAAAGGCTTTTGCACATTTTATAAATATGATTGTATTAATTGACCATAATCTCACAAGTTTCTATAGCACATGTTTTATTTTATATTTATTTTACCCAATACACATCAGGATTAAACTTACAAGGCATCATACGGAACTGGCAGATTCGGGAAATGACCCATCCGTATTGAATCAGATCTTTTACTATAGAGATGATTAGGTATATAGTGGCACTAGCTGAGATTTACTAAGTTTAGTACTTATAAGTGTAAAAAAAAACGTGGAATAGCGCAAAGCAAATTTCATCTTCCTAATCGTTAAAATGAGAAAGGGCCGCCTGTAGAGTTGCCTATCAACTTATAAAATCTCTTCTTTTATGTAACGTGTCCCTTTAAGACGTAGGCGATCATGACTCATCACTTCTTCCTCTCAATAAGTTTTGTCTTTTTTTTTTTATTTCTTTCAGACCCTGTTTCGCCAAACAGCCCGTTAAGCATGTCACACGCTGCTTTCCTTTTGTCCCTCTTTCTCTTTATCCGCCCTGTGAGTATCAGGTTTTCCAAGCCGTCCTTTCTTATTACGTGACCCAGAACTTTCAGCTGCCTCTTTAGAGTCAGCATTCGGAAATTGTTTTTTTTTTCTTGTTCTCTGAACTGGAATACTAACTCTTTATACTTGTGGAAAATACATATTGTTCTTAAACACGTGTCTGACCCACTAACCAATTTGTATGTCTCTTTTTTTATGCGCTGTGGCCCTTCAGGATATTAGTAATCATGGCTCTCCACAATTTCCTGCTCTTTGTAACTGTTAACGGTTTTAGACTCTTTTTAAAATTTCTCCTAGACCCTGTTATGCTATCAATTTACTCGCTAGGTAGCTTACGTGTTGTCTTCCCCTGTCTCTGCCTCTGTGTGCTGCCTTCAATCTGCCCTGTGAATATTACATTTCCAATCCCTCTGTCCTCATTATGAACCCTAGAAATGGCAACCGTCTCTTCCTGATATTGAGATGTTTCCCTTTTGTTTTCTCGTTCTCTAAATCTTCATCGTTGCTCATATGTTCAACATACTTCTGTAGGGCCCAATTTCCGTTGCTTCAAATCTCTTTTTTATCTGTGAGTAGATTGTCCAGTATTCACTGCCATATACGCGGACTGATATTACATAACTGTTCAATTCACTTTTCCTCCACCGAAACACTTCCCAGATATTTCAATTATCGTGCTTATTAGATTTTGATGTCTCTAATTTGTAATGTTCATGTTAGGCTCCTCCTTCTGCTAACAACCATTCATTCTGTCTTGCAATTGATGTTTAGTCCTTTTCGCTCTCATTCACTACCTTCTGTAGGAGTTGTTGTAGTTTCCTTTCTGTAGCTGTGATCCGTACTGGGCCATCTTCATATTATATTATGGTTGTGGCTGCCAATAATAAATTCTATCAGGATTATTATTATCTCAGAATCGCCTCACTGTATAGGTTGAATAAGTTTGGTTAGAAGATATATCTATGTCTTAAAATCCTTTTTTATTTTTGTACATTTCAGTCAGTCAATTATGTGCCATGCATGATACACACTTAGGCGATCATGTATCTTTCGCTACATAACTGACGAGGCAGATTTTTTCCCGCAGTAGGTGGCCATTTCTTTCTGCGGTAGACAAGTTGCCATCTAAGGCTCTAGAACCATAGCTGGGGGAGGGGGAGAATAAGAGGATTCATACCTTTCTCAAATATATTAACACGTAAGTGAATGTCATGGATTCGACTGGAATTCGAACTCGGCTCTCCGATTTCGCAATCTGTACTGAATTAATTTTCTATCCGAATGCAGGAAATTTGCTGTCAGTATCAGTTCTAAATTATTCTAATATCCTTCCTAAATATGTCAAGGTTAACTATCAGTTACAACAGTTCTTTGTTGGAAAGTTGTTTTTGTTTAGTGTCATATCAACCCATCTATGGGTTATTTAATGCTGACATCTCAACATTTTGAACATAATTGTATGGATTCAACTAAGTAAAGGGTGTTCCAATATCTTAGACCGATTTTAGATGTGAAATATTTTTACGCTTTTAATGATGTTTTTTCTTTCAGATTTGGCGGGCATTTTGCCGATATTATTTTTTCACACATTATTGCCATGACTTAAATAACATGATCCAATAGAGAAAGACATAAATTTTCACCAATAACACTGATTTATTTACTGCTGACTTTGATCTGTCTTAATGAAACACCCTTATATATAATCCGTCTTAATGAAACACTATATTTTGAACGAAATTGTATACTTTCACCTACAGAAAATGTATTGTTTGTATTTTTCTATATAAAAATATATTGTTGGTACTTTTACTTTTGTTGGAGGGGGTCATATTTGCCCGTAACTAGGTGCTACCACCACGGATCGGGGTGGATCTGGAAACAACAGCAATTAAGAGGTGGTACGTCTCTCCTCAAACTCTCTAGTCTCCCAATGAGAAGCCTTGCTGCCGGATCTAGTTTATCGTCATACCCAGGGCTGACAGTTTTTTGTGAGGTGCTAACTGAAAACATTCTTACTTTATTTTATTAAACTTTAGATTTAGTTAAGATGTAGCGATATAAACGAAATAATTCAGTTTTTTTTTATATCTGTACATTAAAATCTTACTTATATTTTCAGTTTTTATAATTGGATGAAATTATATTGTTTCTAAGAGAAATATAATTTTACAACGTTTTTATTTAGACTGAATAGATTTTACAGATCTTTTATTTAATGTGGAATTTTAAGAGAAACCAAAGAATATAAGTAGAGAGAGAAAAAATATTCAATCCGTTTATTCTTGCAAAAGATAGAAAGTAATAATTTGCTGATTGATTTTTATATTCATATATCGCGCAATTAAAAAAAATGCATTGAAGTTTCTCCTTTGGTCTGTTCACTCCAGCAAGAAAACGTCAAAGAGATTTTGCGATGGGAAATTCCAGAAAAAGATCATGAGGATCTGGGAATCAATTGACAAATCAATGAAGGACCTGATCGATCAAGGTTTCAATTCGAAGATACGTCATCAAGATAAAAAAGTAAAAAAAAAAATGATATAAAAAGCAGGGCGTTTGCTTTTATTCGTCTAGAGAAGTTGATTTTTTTTCAATTTTTTCACATCTAAAATCGGAAAATTTCTCATCCGTAAAATTAAAAAAAGAAGAAAACGACGGAAATAAAATGATAATAATTTTTCTCCCTTTCTTTTTAGAATTAACATTTGACTGGTACATTTTTTTTTGTCAAAAGAAGTATAAAAGAACATCTCTTCCAGGAAAAAAAATGAATATCTTTAACGATGGAAAAATGATTTGACGTTTGATACATTTAGGGTCAATCCTGATTGAAAAAGAATAATCGAAGTGTCGGGGTTCAATAGGGGCAGCCAAAAACATAAAGAAAATTCTTATTTAATTATTTCTTCATGGATTTTACACAAGTCACGTTTTGTTATATTGATCTTTTTTTTTTTACTGTTTTAGTATCGATGAATGTTAAAAAATGTCCTTTTTCAACGGACGTGAAATCAAGTCGTTAAGTCTTGAGATTCAGGTTTTTGAATCAATATCATCCACTGCCACGGATGGAACCCGAAAAATCTGTTACGATGTATAGGATATGAGGTCAAAAGTTTGGATTTTTATTTAGGCTAAAGTCAATGATATGAAAAAATTTCCGCTGTCGAGTGAAAATCATGTAGAGTTTTACTTTTATTTCTATTTTGAAATTTGATCCCTTTAACCAGACTATTAATGGTTGACTTTCATTTTGTCTGTTTCTTTGTAATTTTTCGATTGTTTTTTTTTTCTTTCATTCTAAACCATGTCACTTTTGCGTACGTATGCATTCAATATGTTCCTTGTTTTTTGTTTGCTAACATGTTATTTTATTTCTAAATATTATCCTCTTTATCCTTTCTCCTCATGCTTCTCCTTTCTTCTCCTCCTCATCCCTCTTCTTTTTTTCACTACCTTAACTTTCTCCTTTCTTCACCAACTCATGCCTAAACTTTCTTCTCCTCCTCATCTTTCTCCTTTCTTCACCTCCTCATCCTTCTCCTTTCTTCACCTCCTCATCCTTCTCCTTTCTTCACCTCCTCTTCCCTCTCCTTTCTTCACCTCCTCATCCCTCTCTTTTCTTCACCTCCTCATCCCTCACTTCTATTCCCTCTCTCTTCTATTCCGCCTCTCTCATCCTTCCCTCTCCTCCTCCTCCTTCCCTCTCTCTCTCTGCTCTCTCATCCCTCACTCTCCTCTTTATTTCCATTCTATCTTCTCTCTCTCCGTTTTTGCTTTCTCGTCTTTCTGTTCTCTGTCTCTCTTTCTATTCTATCTTCTCTTTCTGTTCTGTTTTACCCTCTCTATGTGTTTTTACTCTCTCTGTTTTCTCTCTTTCTGTTTTCTCTCTCTTTCTGCTTTTTCTATCTCTCTTTCTATTTTTTCTGTCTCTCTTTGTCTCTTCTCTCGCTCTGTTTTCTCTTTCTTTAACTGTCTGTTTTTTCTCTCTCTGTTTCTCTTTCTCCTCTCTTTTCGATTGCAAGTTATCCTATATTGCCATCGGTGTACAACAAATTTAAAGAAATATGCTAGATTATGACCCAAGAATGATTAGTACTGCACAATCATGTCATAGTCTCAAGCGTAACGCACGTTAGTGCAATTTTAAAGTCTGCGATTTCAAACTTAGCTATCTTTCGTCATCATTTTTCATTCAATCATTCAAAGTTGAATCAACACTACATACCTAGCCACTTGTTCAGTGAACATGCTTAAATGACGCATGATATGATCAGAACCCTTAATATAACAGCTGCTTGTGTAAAAATAAAAAAGGAAACGAAACAACGTAATAAAACTTGATATAAAAGAGAAATAATATGCACAAAAAAAAAGGAAAAAAAAAAAGATTTCCTCTCATTATCAAACGGGAAAAAAACCCAATATATTCAGTCTAGAAACTGCGCACACAATATTAAAACAAGACCGTTTCTGTTCGCTTACAAAAATCTGTGCATGAAACAGGACAGAAAAAAACAAAAGCCCCCCCCAAAAGAACCAAAAAAAAAAAAAAAAGAAAACAAACTCGCAAACCATCTACAAAACGAATATCATAAATAAAGGGAAAGGTGTTAAAATGGCGCCCTGACAAACAAGTCAGCAAGCATAATAAATGTGTTCCGCAGCACAAACAAGTTTCGTCATCGATCCGTTTTCTGATAAGTGCCGATCAATGACCAATTCGCACCGTGATCTGTTTGGTCAGATCCGAAATGATACACATCCTTTGATCGGGCTAATTACAGCCTAGCAAGGGCCAATGGTTTATCTGAAGTCAAATTGCTTATGTCAGTCGGCAAAACACGCATATCCACTTTTCACTGAGCTCACAATACCTACTTTCAAAGGTATGGATTGTGTACTTTATGTAGGAGAGGGAGTTGAAAATTTCTTACCCCAACCAAGAAGCCATTCCCCACAGAAATGTGGGTGTATCGGAGATAACTTTTCAGTACCATGTGCCGTGTATATATATATATATATATATATATATATATATATATATATATATATATATATATATATTAGGTTGGTGCAAAAATAATGACGTAATAATGTCGTTTTGGGACGTATAACGTCAAAAACGACATCATTACGTCATTATTTTTGCACCAACCTAATATATATATATATATATATATATATATATATATATATATATATATATATATATATATATATATTCATATACACACATTTATATATGATGTCTAAACAAAAAAGTATCGGGAAAGGTGCTATACAAAGAAACACATATCAATTCGACACTTCTTCGTAGTAGTTTCCTTCTGAAGCCACATAATTTATCCAGGGTCGTTTTCATTGTCGGAAGCATTCCTGGAACTTTTTTCTTAGGATAACGAGAAGCCGTCTCATCGAATTTTCCTGGATTTCCTCGACGCCTTGAAATCTTATTCCTTTCAAGTGGGATTTGATTTATGAAGAGTAGAAAGTCACAATGGGTGAGATATGGGGAATATGGTGACTGTCGGAACTGGAGAATGTTGTGTTGACCAAAAGCTGAAGTAGAAGCCATGTTCACTGCTAGAACCTCCGGTATGGGGAGACGATCACACTCTACATACTTTCCTTTCAAGCACTCATATAAACAACGGATGTGAGCGAGAACGTTATTAGTTCAAGGTGCTAAGTGTCTGCGTACTATAGTTGCGTTACCATAGCAACAATGGGATAAATACATTGAATCAATAGCTTCATCTACCGCAAAGAAAGTTGGCTCACTGTGTCGTACCAGAAAGGTTTTCTTGTCAGAGCCCATCTTTCAAGTCTATAAATCAACCATCTGTCCTTGCCTCGAATACGGCTGTCATATATGGTCTGGTGCTCTCGCTGTACGTCTCGAGGTCCTTGACAAAATCCAGAGACGAATATGCAAGATGATAGGTCCTGATCTGGCATCTAGTCTACAGTCGTAATCCCACAGATGTGCTGTGGCCTTCCTCTGTCTCTCCTACAACTATTTTCAAGACAACTGTTCCGACGAGCTACTGTCGCTGGTTCCCGGACTGCATGAATTTAAACGTGCTAACAGGCTTGCATCTTGGTCTCACCCTTTCACTGTCAAAACGGTGAAATGTATTCTTCTCAAACAGTTTCTTCTCCTGCACTGTGGAACTCTCTTCCCCTTACTTGCTTCGCCGTTGACTATAATATTCATATATTCAAGTGTAATGTCAATCGACATCTGACAATCTGAGCTTGTTCCCCGTCCTTCTTTTTATCCTTTCCCACGCCACTTTAGTCTTATTCTCAATCCTCTGTAACGTCTCGCGTGCTAGTGGCACTCCCGCCTTGCTTGGGGTGTATTGCCTTAAAAAAAATAAGTCTTGATACTTTTTGATTTGACTTCATATGTAGACACAAAAGAGTAAAAAATAATTACTATATCGATAGAAAAATAGTTATTAATATAACCCGATAGTTTGATAGTGTCTAGTCCTGATCCACTTCTCAAAGCCTGACCATACACGTCTTTTTATTTATTTTTTTTATTTTCTGGAAGGGATTTGCGCTTTTGTCGAAGATTTTTCAGCGTTTCTTCATAGATAAATAGACCGCATATTTGATGACACGTGAAAAGCCCTAAAAGGTGACTCAATCATATCACATGTTTGAGGTTGGCTGAATGTCCGTAGGCTATAACAGCTGAATTCTGAATATTTCACTCTAATGCCCGATTTATGTAATAATGTTTATTGGATTAAATGCACAAATAAAGAAAGTGATAATGTTGAGATATGATTTGGGAATTAAAAGGTTTTTTTCGACATTAGCTAACGGGCTTGAGGTACCTACTTACCTAAGTACCTGCACACACCTGCACACACACACACACACACACACACACACACATACACACACACACACACACACATATATATATATAGGGTGTTCCAATAACTTGTACCGATTTTGAATATGAATGAAGTTTAAGCATCTAATGATTTTTTCTTTTTCTTTCAGATGTAACAACGTGTTAAAGTTATCGAAGCCTATTACAAAAATGGACATTCAAATTTATAAATGATTCCGCTAGAAAAAATGCACAACAAACAGTGACCTTTTGTGGATGCAGTGGCAGGAAATGATGTCAGATGAAAACAAAAATTAAGTGCTTATAAAATACAATGCGATATAATTTCTGTGAAATTATATTTGTTTTGATATATGTAAGGAAAACATCTCTTTAGAAAAACAATTTTTGAGTCAGTAAAAATACATGTCTTTATATAACATTTCTGAATGTATAATTGTGTGTGTATATATATATATATATATATATATATATACATACATACATACATACATACAGAGAAAACAAAAACCTAGAAATCAGAAAGTTGTGAAAAAAATTCGTGTATGTGAAATCTCAGTTGTATGCCAGCTGTATTCATTGGTCTTCCTTATTTTCATTCTGTTTGCATCAAACTCTACGCATGCGCACCTGCATGAGCGAGACTTCCTTTGCCTTACAAGTATTTGTACTGATTCGCGGAGACGAATAATAATAATAATAATAATAATAATAATAATAATGATAATAAACAAGACATTTGATCCCAAAACCCAATTAGAGTCAAATAGAATAGCTGAATGAGGCTTTCAGATACAGTATACTGACACATACAACCCACCCACATATATATTAATTGAAACAACCTATCTACGTTAATTCTCACATACATGTATATATATATATATATATATATATATATATATATATATATATATATATATATATATATATATATAATATATATATATAGATAGGCTTATCAATCAATGTGTACTTGTATAAATTATTATATGGACATAGTGAGCACCTGACGAAATCAAATTTTGAATAATTTTTTCAATGAATGCATTAGCATCTAAGCTGTCCTTACTATCTCCTCTTTGTGCTGAGATTCAAAAAAAAATAGTTACGGATGTACATTAGTGATTAAACAAGTACGGTAAGAATATTAGCGCCAATCTTTTGGATTTGATGAGTGCAGTTATTTCGAAAAGGCCGGAAGGTCATATTGAAGGAGATCAATATTGCTAACCTGAGAATTCAGCTTCTTAATAATAGTGCGTGGGTGTATATTTTCTTCCTATTTACATAGCCCTACATACTCATGTCTGTGATTATATACGGCTAGCGGCTTGGACTGAGGAATCGGAGAGCCGAGTTCAAATTCCAGTCGAACCCATTACAATCACTTACTTGCTAATACCCTTGTGAAAGGTATGAATCATCTTCTTCTCCATCCAGCTATGGGTAAATAGCAGGACAGACTGAGTTCTATAGCCTTGGATGGCAACTGGTCTAGGAGAAGAACAACATTGAATTCAAAACCTGCGGAGGGTTGTTTGGGAACCTTGTGGCACGTAGTCCACCAGGTTTCTGTATTCGGCCCTTCAAAAAGTGTAGATGGATCTGCACAAAACATTTACAACTATAATCAAATCTCATGTCCTGGTGTCGGGCTGTCGGTTCCTAGGAACTGATCTGTTTGACCATCATACATCGAATTCGACGGGTATGTCAAGTATATATATATATATATATATATATATATATATATATACAAGTATAGGATTGGTGTATGCAGAATAAATTACAATAACCAACAAATACTATTCTTAAAAGAGTGCTCAGTATATAGTAAACATTTTGAAAAATGCGTGCATGTGAAGCCGCTGAACGTTTCTACCTATAGAGAAATGGACATAGATGAAAACATTGATCATCAACTCTCATAGACGTCCTGTTTTTAAACACTGTGTATTACATCTAGAGACTTGCGCACTCGTGGAAACTTAAAAAGAAATGTCCTCAAAGGTTAGGGTTCGAGACTTTCTCCGCCTTTCTTAGGAGGAATTACAATTTTTAAAAACAGGTCTCTATTTCAAACATGTGTATCCATTAAAAATAAAATCTTACTAAAAAATGTCAGATTAAAAATAAAATAATTCTTAAAAAATTGCTTTGTTCATGTCTCCGATACTAAAGTGAGCATATACGTGTTTTCG